CCTTTTTTGTGAAGAAGGGGTTGAATAGCTTTAAAAATAGTTTGATTTTGCCACCTCATATTAAACCATGATGACAAATTATATTACACTCACCAATACTAAAAGTCTAAAATTAGAAATAAGAGTTTAATATTGCATCAAGAACTTTGACTGCCACTATTTTTTTTCCAATAATGGCAACTTTATACTAAAATTGATTCGGGTTTGCTCCCTCAAAGGCAAAGCATAAAAAATAAACTATAACAATAATTTTTGAATTTACTTGTATAAAAGTTCAAGTATCCTTTTGTGAAAGAACTTAGATGCTTAATGGTATACGATAAGGTTCTATTTAATTTCTTAAGTTATATAAATATTCCATAAAGAACCGGCCCACTAGTGCTACTGAAGAGAACCGGCCCATTTATACATTTACCTATATTGTATATTTTTTACTTGTATTTTTATTTTCATATACCTGTAAATATAAAAGAATAATATCTGGGAAGTGAATTAGTTTTTGGTCCATAGTCATTTTGACTAGCTCACATTTTCTCTTGAACCTTCTGTATCTCTCTTCTCTTCTCTCAATGTTAGAGTTTTCTCTTCATTTGTTCCGCCATAGCTAATCTCTGTACCAAGTTAACATGGTATCAGAGCAGGAATTTAGATTCCTCTCGTCTTGAGCTCTCCTCCGGTTGTACGCTTGCCGGAAGTTTTTCTCGTTTTGTTTTTGGTTGAAGTTAGAGGTAGTTGAAGCAGTACTGTGTTCTTTCACCGGAGAAATTTGGGACTTTTCAGCTTCGATCCTTGGTAGAGGTATATCTTCTTTGAATTTTGGTTTTTACGAAGGTGCTGTTACACTTGGGAGCAAAAATCATGTCAAGGGTTTGCGATTAGACGAGACCTTACTTCTTCGGGTTTTCAGAAGAAGGCTGGTATATTCTCACCTTTCTGCATGTATTGATTTTTTGTTGATTGCAAAGAAGAAGGCTGGTATATTCTCACCTATCTGCATGTATTGATTTTCTGTTGATTGCAACTCCGTTTTACCTCTGTTTGTTATCAGTCGACTTTTATCTCTTATTGTGAACTCGTTTTGATTACAGCTCGTTCTGATGGGTAGTATATTGAATAATGATGATTTGTCTTTGACTTCTGATGGTTTTGTTCCTTTTTCACTAGATCCATCTCACCCTCTTTATATTTACCCGTCTGATAACCCTGGTAGTCAATTGGTGTCTATGCCATTTAATGGGTCTGGGTTTGTACTTTGGAGAAGTAGTATGGTCACTTCTCTCTCTGCAAAGAATAAATTAGGGTTAGTAGATGGTAGAGTCTCTCAGCCTACATCAGATTCCCCTTACTATGCGTATTGGGAAAGATGTAATGATATGGTCAAGGCCTGGATAACAAAATTCGGTATCTAGAGAGATTGCACCAGCGTGATGTGTTTTAGGACTGCGAAGGAAGTCTGGAAAGACATCAATGATAGGTTTGGGCAGTCAAATAGGTCTAAGTACATCCAACTTCAAAGGGAAATTCATTCTACTACTCAGGGGTCTTCTAACATAGCATCTTACTTTACAAAGATGAGAAGCCTCTAGGATGAGCTACATTTCTCATATGTAGGACCTGCATTTTGTGGTGCCTTGCCCAAATTCATAGAAGATCAACAATTATTCCAATTCCTAAATGGTTTAAATGAGTCTTATTCAATTGTAAAAAGTGCTATTATGATGATGAACCCTCTTCCAGCAATGAGCAAAGCTTATTCTCTTCTTCAACATGATGAAAGTCAAAAGGAAGCTCATTCTTCTGCCCCAAGTCTTTCTGGAGATTCATCCTCCTTCCTGGCTTCAGAATACTTTATTCTTTTTATTTTTCTATGGACTGCATAAATCTTCTCTTCCTTCCTGGTTTCTACTGGATCATCAAATGGGAACAAAACCTTCAGTCAAAAGGTGAATTTTGAATCCAGGAGGTCTAACACAAATGTTTCTTGCAAATATTGCAAGAAACCTGGAAACACTGTGGACAAATATTACAGGCTGAGTATATGGCAATTACGCAAGTAGTGAAAGAGGCTATTTAGATACAAGGTTTGATAAGTGATCTTGGACTGGCTTAGAAGAAGACATTAGTATTGGTGACAGTTAGAATTCCATTCATCTTACTAAGAATCAGATGTTCCATAGGTGGACAAAGTATATTAAAGTCAAACGTTATTTTATCCGAGATATTGTACCAAAAGGGATTATTGATGTGAAAAAAGTGCTTGCACATGATAATCCAGCTGATACGATGACCAAGACACTCTCGGCCAACAAATTTAGGCAATGCCTAGACTTATTTGGTGTGTGTAGTACTCAGCAGAGCCCTTGTGAGGAATAAATGCAAGACAAAAGAGATGTAGTTCTTGTTGATGAAGAGAATTCAAACCAAAGGAAGATTTATCGATTGTGTTTTGAATTATTTCTTTGTATTTTTTAAAAAATTCATAATCCCTATAGGTTGAAAAAATTATTGTTCTAATAGATTTATGACAACAACAACAACAACTCAGTATAATTCCACTGGTAGGGTCTGGGGAGGGTAGTGTGTACGCAGACCTTACTGCCCTGGCGTAGAGAGGCTGTTTCCAATAGACCCCCGGCATCCTTCCCTCAAAGAACTATATAGGTTTGGGACTACTTGGAATCTATATAGGAGTTATAGGTGGGGATTCTTTATACTGTAATATTCTTCTCATTCATAATGAAAAATTCTCTATTTCTGCTGCCCTGAGGACTAGGCTTACCAGAATTTCGTTAAATCCTTGTGTGTGTGTTTTTTTCTTTTTCTTTTTTTTTATTATTTTTTTTAAAGATTTTTATCTTAGCATCCTATATCTTCTTAAAGGGTATAACATTCAAAACATATAATATTTTTAGAAAAATTCAAGTTTCATTTTGACAATACAGAATTTAGATACATATCTTCTTAATGCTTAGTAAAACACGCAAGGTCGCGAAAAAAAGAATGCAAGGTCAAATTTGATTTCTTAAGTTAAAAGTAAATAGTTAGTTCAAAATTTTACAGTATACTTAGGTCGATAACGATCTTTTAACCAAGTTTATCGTCTAAAATTTGACTTAATTAAGAAGGGGAAATATGCGCTCATACAATGAACAAGTAAGTACTGCAACTAAAGCCAAAAAGAGCAAGATTCTTATTACTTAACTATGTTCACACAACACATAATTCATTATCCAATATTCGATGCCAAACACTTTTTTCACACTGAAGTCTTTTCACAGGGTTCTGGCTCATGGCTGTCTTAGCCGACCTCTGCTCATTTTCATTTTTTAAACTCCAAGGGTGTGTTTGGTACCAAAGAAAATATTTTTCGAAAAATATTTTTCAATTTTTCATGTTTGGCTGATTTAAATGTTTTGAAAAATATTTTCCCTGCGAACTCATTTTCCTCCAATTTGAGGAAAATGTTTTCCCTATCAAAAAGGGAAAACATTTTCCAAAACTCTTCTCAACCTTCCCCACCCTATTCCCCATCCCCACCAACCACCCCCACACCCCACCCACCACTCTAAATAAAAATATTATTAATAATACTTTCTTTTCATGTTATACATAGATTTTTTTTTTCATTTCAACAAATGAGTATTTTTTTCATGATATAAAAAGTATTTTTTTCATTTTAACAAGAAGAAAATACTTTCTTTTCAATGTAGAAAAAGTATTTTTTTTCTCATTTCAACAAAAATATATTTTCTTTTCATGATGTAAAAAAAGTATTTTTTTTCATTTCAACAAAATGAGTATTTTCTTTTCATGATGTAAAAAAAGTATTTTCTTTTATTTCAATAAAATGAGTACTTTATTTTTATGTTGTAGAAAGAACACTTTCTTTTTCAACCAAAAAAAAGTATTTTCTTTTTAGTTATGGGCACAAATTTTAACGTTATTTTTGCATAAAAAGTAAAGCAACAAATTTGTTACTTTCGATTTGTGTGAATTTTTAGATACTTAGGTGGGAGGG